TTCTTTGTTAGAATGTAAGTGTTTTGAGATTAACTGTGACTTTTGTGAAGGGAGCTATAAAATACTATGGTAAAAAGCAGAATTGATTCAAATCTGACCTCCACCCTGATCACCTGGGACAGGTGAACTTCCTTTCAATATCCTAAAGAGAATACTTAGTGACCTTTTTGGCTTCTTCAAATTGAGATTATTGATTTTGAAGGAGAAAGAATTCAAAACTCTTTATTTGAAAAAATTTAGTCTCTTTCCATTATTTGAGTTGACTTTTCTAAAATTTTTATAATAACATATGTAAAACAACACTTGCCAATTCAAGATTTTAAAGTGTATATTTTAATGACACTAAATACATTAATCATGATATGCAATCTCATCAAGTATTTTTTTATTCTGTTTCCTTGGAAAATTATATAATTTTCTGAATGATATCACAATAGCTTACAAATTAATAGATTAACATAAGCTTGTCTTTCTAACACTAATTATAAATTTAATGCTCAAAATGGATTTATTTTCTCATAATTTTGAAATTATTTTTTCCAAAAACATTAAAAGGAAGAAAATGACTAAACATTTTATTTGAAAATATTAAATATAAACCATGTGATTTTACACCTATGTTAGAAATAACTTTAAATATGCATACTTAAATTATTTAATAGAATTACTTTGTGATCTTACCCATATATTCTGAAATTCTGTTTAAATATCAGAAAAAGTCAGGATGAATTGCTGTATTGTGTCATAGTTCTCCATAGTTTTCAGTTTAAAAAAAAGCTAGAAGACAATTAGTGAGTTGAAGTCTAAGAACAGTAAAAATAATGCATTTTTAGAAATAAGTATTCATGGATGTCAATATTAAAAGTAAAAATAAATAAGAATTTTTCTTTTTCCTGGATTTCTCTGAGAAAGGTTTGTAAGAACTTGTAACTTGCCTTATGGCATTAACACTAAGAATTTCTGGATATAAATCTTGACCTTTTAAACATATGAGAGTGAAACAGTGAAAATTTAGAG